CATAAAAAGAAAAAAAAAAAAAAATATATTGTGGTATCAAGCATATATAATAGCAACAAATGAAATAGATGTGTCGAGGATATCACTCATGCAACTGCAAGGTTTTTCCTCAATGTTTCAGCAAATCATTTTTGATGTACCAATTTTCCACAATTTTCTACATGGAGAATAACTGCAGGAGATTTTAGTATATCATAGAACTGGTATTAGAGGACATGGGAGTATCTATAAAAACTCTGGTGGATCCATTGGTATTTAGACTGAACGATGGAAATTTATGTAATCTTTCAGGGCTTTCAACACTCAAGAAATATTCCAACAAATTCTTGTTTCTCATTCTAGTCGATGATATTTCACCGAACAATTATTGATTAGAATCCCCATAGAGGTATTCAGCATGGAAAAATTCTAATAACCAATGTAGAGCATGATTAATCATTATATGTTACGACTTGAACACTCTTACATAGGGCTCAGCATGGGACTCGGAGAATTCCGAACAGTTCCGAAAACCGAACCGAAATCACTCCGAACCAAAAAATTACCGTTGACCGTTTGACTTTCTCCGAACCGCACCGAACCGAAAAAATAATTGGTACGGTTCTAGATATTTCACAAATATCCGTACCGAGAATCGAATCGAACCGTCCCGTAGTGTACCGAACCGAAGAACCGAATTATAACATTAGATGTGTTATTAATATATTTTATGTCAACTTTGATTCTATATAATATAGTAATAAATATTAAGCTTCACTTAAATTTCATGCTTAGTAATACTTGATAATTTTTTCTATTATAAAATAATTAATTAAAATAATATGAAAGTGTAAAGAATATTTTTTAAGAAAAAAAATCATATTTTATTTGAATTTTAAATTTTCAATATTAGTTGCACAAATTTGGTTTAACTAAAATTTAGAGTTACTTATAAAATTGATTTCAAAATAAAATTTTTAACGTGAGGAAGTACTGATGAATGTTGGTTTTATTAAGTGATTAAAATGGCGCCATGGCGCGAGGCGAGGCGAGGCTCTCTCGCCTCATACCCTTGAGGCGAGGCGATCTTTAAAAAGGCGTCGCCATGGCGTCGCCTCTGATGTAGCGCTACAAAGGCTGAGGCGACGCCTTAAGATTTTGAGGCGAGTTTAGGGCAAAATAGGAAATTCAAATTGCAGCTAGGGTTTATTACGTAAAAATTTCACAATTACACATAATCTACTTACCCAAAATCAAAATTGACATGTGCCTTTTCTTCCACCCGAGACGACGACCAGATTCCGGCAACTAACCGGCGAAGGTGACCAGATTCCGGCAGTTAACCGGTAAAGACGACGACGAGAGGTATGTTTCCTATTTTCCTTTCCTTTTTTTTTTCTCTCTTGGCCTGTCTTAACAGGGACTAAGTGATATAAGAAAAAGATGATGTTAATGAGCAGTGGAAACTAAATAATGTAGAGGGACCCACCAATTTTGTCTAAGGTTGAAAAATACAATTGATAAAAGTAAAGTAGAGGTGGTGTGGGGTCCTGATAGTTTGGTAAACTTATGGATGACAATGACATATTGTGCTTTGATTAGGTTGATGGAGATATTAATGTGGATGGTGGCTTTTAATTATTTATTTATATCTACATTATAAT